TTTTTTTTTTTTGGTCTCAATTGTAAGTTTTCACTATTCTGTCTTTTGTAGCATATACCCTTGTAGCTTGCCTGAAACGTGTCGGAAACAGAGAAAGGCACGGGTCCATCTTAGGTCGAGGGCGTTCAGGCTCGTACGACTGTCCCAGTCCCTCCCAGTATGCGTTATCACAAAAGATTAATTTGAAGGGTTCTGAAGCCCTGAAGCACGCCCTGAATATCTGGTGTAAGACAGCCGTCCGGGTGGACGGGCTCCAACGCACCGGTTCCTTGCAGGAAGGATCCTCGAGACTTTGGACACGGAAGGTCTGACGAACAGGACCCTCGTCTATTTCACGTCCGATCACGGTGGATCCTTAGAATCTCAACTGGGGAATCAGCGGTATGGTGGCTGGAACGGGATCTATAAAGGTAACGCTGACGGACACCCAGGTCTTTCGTGTACGGTCTGCCCTGTGACGCCCAACCCTTACTGCTGGAATGGGGCCGTCTACCTCAACAGAGACAGGGGAGGGGTGGTCTCCAAAGGGGGGCATGTGGGGGGGCAGGGGGTGTCAGGGTGACAAAGGGGAAGGGATTAGGAAGCACCGATCGGCAGTTATAAAATAGTCACAGGTATGTCAAGTACAGCACAGGGACTAGCGGCCGTAATATTATAATAACTATGAATGGTGCCAGGTGGGGGGACTAGACTTATCGGGGAGGATCACTTCGTAAGTTGCAGAAATGTCTCACTCCTGTCCTGTACACCTGACACTAATATGAAATAATAGCGAATGTCAACGATAGCTGGGGGGAAAAAATGCACAATTAAAAGAAATTTTAATCCAAAGACAGAGAGAGAGAGTGTGAATGCTGCTGGTCAAAGACTGCTTCCTTCATCGAAGGCAGAAAGTACAATGTGCCATGCTCCGATGTGCATTTCTTTTTTTTTTTTGCACAATTCACCATTTTGGGTATCTTTGCAGAATGTTCGACCATCAGCGTTACTTAATTTTAGAACATTTTCATCCCCTTCAAAAGAAATGCAGATGCCCATTTGCAGTCCCTGGTGATGGTCCCCTGCAGCCACCCCCAGAAACTACTGACTTTCGTCTCTCTTTTCATGCAAATGTGGGGTCCTTTGCGACTACCTTCTTTCATTCAGAAGGATGTTTTCCGGGTGCATCCAC